CTATCTATCTATCTATCTATCTATCTATCTATCTATCTATCTATCTATCTATCTATCTATCTATCTATCATCTATCTAACGAAAACCACTCATGCCGCATCACGAAATCTCCAGAACCATAAAGCCTACAAACTCGAAATGTGGCACATATGTTCCTTTTGGCTTCTAGGTGCTTGCTTAGAAAGGAGTTTTTGAAAAGGCCATCAGATCATTAGTATTTCTTATATAGTAATTAACATGCTGTGGTGCTGAGGAGTTAGACGTTCTACTCTCCCTCCCAACCTAAAAACTGCCACTTGGATGTGGGTGTAGCCAACACATGACTCATTGGGCATACTGGCTGGGAGTTTGGAAAGGAGCCTGAGGGAGAGAAGGGGATAGGATAGGAGTGGTTTCTGTGGAGCAAGGCTGAGGGAGAGAAGGGGATAAGATAGAGGAGGTTTCTGTGGGGCAAGCATTAGGGAGAGAAGGGGATAGGATAAGAGACATTTCTGTGGGGCAAGCCTGAGGGAGAGAAGGGGAGAGGAGACGCTGATTGTAACTACTTATTAATTTTCTAGCTGCAAGTGTCAATTTATCAAGCCCAATCACATAGTTTCGTAGTGGAGCACAGGTATTCAGCTAGTAATATATCATCCAATGTATCCTATTCATTACTGTTTCTAGATTTAGCTGTGTTTATGTCACATGCTTACATTTGTTCCTGAATTGGGTTTAGGCATTGTCCTCCACAGGGGAGTGCAGGTGACAAAATCTCTGTAGCATCATTGCGATGCAAACTCTATCCTTACACACTTGAACACAATATAGTAACTGATTTTTTTGGAGGGTATCATGGTTAGTTGAGGTAGTCAAAAAGGAGTCCTTGGTGCTCTCTGAGCTCGGTTGTTCTCTTGCAGATGTTTCATAAATGAAACTAGGTAATATCATCAGAGCATTGATGATGTTACTTGGCTTGGGTAATGCAATGTCTACAGAGAACAACCAAGCACAGAGAGCACTAAGGATTCCTCACTTCATCCCTGTGCAACAAATATTATCCATTATAGGTAGTCAGTGGATTCATAGAATACAAGGAACATAACAACATTGGACAGGTTGGCATAATGCAAGGATCCCCAACCCCCGGGCCATGGTCACTAGGAACCAGGCCGTGTGTACATTCATATTTGAAGCTTCATTTGCACAAGCACCTGCCACTTGTGCAAATGGAGCTGTGTGCACTTGTATGTACCATTCACACGGAACCATCCCCTCTTCCCCTCCACTGGGCTGCCAAGCCAAAAAGGTTGGGACTACTGGCATAGCATACTAAACTAAAGACAAAGATATAACTAAGCTTAGGATAATATAAAAATGCAACCAGGTCTTCAACTCCCTGAATTAACTGTATTTCACAAACAGAACCTATATGTAGCTCCCTAGTTGCTTTGTAAGCATTTATTCAATATATCCATGAGTGCAACTAAAGTGTCAGTCAGAGATGGAGTATAACATTCTTGTAAAGGTAACTTTGGCATCATTACTATTCAAACTATGAAGGCTCAAAAAGAAGAAAGCTTAACAAATTGTTGAAGCGACTATTACAATAGCTTGTGATGTTTCATCTTGAGCACACCTTGTTAAAAAACACGAGTTCAGTTGTTGCAAGCTTTCCAGTGTACCTTTGTCAGGATTTTCTTTTGAACCCACCAGAGGTAGCACACAGCTTGTTAACACTGAAATGCCATTAGCATTTGCCTCCAGGTATGCGGTTGATGTATATTTGCAAGACAGCTTCCAGATCTTTTCAAAGAAAGAACAAATAACCTAAACTGGGTCCAGAATAAATCAGAGAAATATGTGGTAAGGAGGAAAAGAAACATGGGTGAAGAGGTTTCCCAGAAGACAATGAAANAATAACAGGTACTCCTTCTTCCCCACTGATCTGTTTCTATCAGGATTTTACTATAGGGATTTCAAATAATTAGAAAATAACCCCATAATTTGGATTATTTCCAGTCATGCAGTTTTGCTTACAAAGCACCAAGTAATTTGGTACGATTCTGGCTGTTACGTACCATTCTTGCCGCAATATTTTCTTTTGTAAGAATGTTATAAAAGCAAAAGCTGAGGCATGAAAATAATAGCTCTGCCAGGATGTAAAAAATTTCACTGACTGTGAGACCCCCATTGGCTTGATATTCTCGTATATTACAGGGTTGCACTGGGGCTTTAGGATTATTGTAACAGATGATATCTGTGTCATTGGGCACTGTACGGTGCATTCCATTCCCTTCTGCTCCTATGAAAAATGCCCTGGTGGAACATTGTCAGGTGCAATGAATGAGCAGAGAAAGAAAGCAACAAATCCTTATCCAGATCTTATGAATGCTCATGTGATATTGCCAAGCAATACATTTTTTGAAATCAACCTGAATGGCTGTGGCAACTGTTTGGCGAACGTAGCAAAAACCCTGACTGGAGTCCAAGGTGATATTGAGCAAACCCAATGTTTGAAAGGTTTTCCAATAGGTTTTGAGTGCAGTGTCCACTTTTTGAAGTCAACTATTGGTTGTTAAAATGTGTTTGGCCTAAAAGCTGGCATAGAGAAGAATCTGCTGTTATACCTCGTAGATGGATGGATGGATGGACAGACGGAGGGACATGATAGATAATATAAGTATATAGATAGATGATGATAGATGGATGGATGGACGAAAGGGAGGGGGATTAGGGAGGGAGGGACAGACGGACGGACGGACAGACAGACAGACAGGGTTGTCCAGGGCTGAATGTGAAAATCAAGGTCATGGTGAACCGGGCATTCTGATTTTGTAACTTTTAGGTTGGAGATACCGCACTTCATGTCGCTGCTGCATTGAATCATAAGAAAGTGGCAAAATTGCTTTTGGAAGCTGGAGCTGATGGGACAGTAGTTAACAATGTAAGTGCGGAAGTATTTTTGTGTTACTGCTCTATTTTATGTTAAATACCAATTAAAATGTTGCTATGGGCAACAGGAAGGTCATGGGCACCTAATAAGGTCATATGGGTGTACAGGTAGTCCTTGACTTAAAACATTGACTTTAATGACCATTTGAAGTTACAACATCACTGGGGAAAAAAGTGACTTGTGACTGGTTTTCACACTTACAACCATTACAGCATCCCCATGGTCATGTGATCAAAATTTGGATGCTTGGGAACTGACTCATACTTATGACAGATGCAGTGTCCAGTGGTCATGTTATCATCTTTTGCAAACTTCTGACAAGCAAAGTCAATAGGGAAGCCAGATTCACTTAACAACTGCAGTGATTCACTTAACAACTGTGGCAAGAAAAGTTGTAAAATGGGGCAAAACTCATTTAACAAATGTCTCGCCTAGCAACAGAAATTTTGGGCTCAATTGTTGTTTTAAGTGGAGGACTACCTGTACTGCAGGCTCATAAATTAGGAGATGTCAGGTGCTCCTTCGTTTAATAATCAAGAAAGAAACCACTCAACTCCATTCTTAGAATTAAGTGTACTTTTACTAATTACAAACGATGAGTAGCAAAGCAAAGCTGAGTCTGAGTAAATTGGCGCGAAAGATATCATATATAATTCAACACACCCCCCCCCTTGGCACCCCATTTCATAGTCCAATAATCATTCACCCAACCGTCAGGTGGGAGATGACTTCAAAAAGCATCATCAGGGTGGAATGCTGGACAGTTGGCCTTGGCGGGAAACTACCTTCTTCCAAATGCCCAGATAGATCGTCGGGACAGGTCCTAAGAACAATCCTCCAGTACATAATGATTCCCCTCCCAAATACCATGCCCCCCCTCCCCATATCAATGGCAGCCGAAAAGCAGCAGCGAAGCAGAGGCTGACAGGAGAAGTGTTATAAATATAATCATCATAGCTGGCAGCTCCTGGTTGACTTTGGCTAATCTTGATAAGCTAAGCAGAGTCAGAAGAGGGTAATGGAAAATCCCCAGCCTTTCCCAAGACTAGACTAACTCGAGAATTTTTAAAAAACTGGTGTCAATCTACCACTTTAACTTTAAGAAGCTCAGATCAAAAACACTGCTTACTTTCACTTGTTTAAAAATGTCCAGTCTTTTGAATTGCTTAATGGTTTTGGAGGAGCATAAACCAATTTCTTCTATTACAGGCTGGCCAGACCCCACTAGAAGTTGCGCAGGAACACAACAATCCTGAAGCTGCTCTTCTACTTACTAAAGCCCCTCAGGTACATCATGCACCATAGCTGAATTGGAAACTTAATTTAAGTTAATGGGAGTACTCACATGGTAGCACTTGGCAGCTGAGCTGCGTTTACAGCTGTTTGCAGGGTCCCACTGTCACCTGACCCTGTTTTAAAATGCCGAAACCCAGTATTTACTTCTGACTTTCAGAAGTATTCAGATGTATTTCAGTATTGACTTCTGATTTTCAACAAAACTGCACCCATGGTAAGTTAATTGGTTCGCTTAACAGTCACTGCATTTGCTTTAATGACTGTGGCAATTAACTTAACGACCAGTGCAAAAGAAAAAAAGTAGTAAAATCGGGTCAATTATGTGAGTGACCTCATCTACAACCATCATGAGTTACAGCCATGATGGAAAGTCTTGAGGACTGCCTGTAATTAAGCAATAATGGGTTGGATTCAAACTTGATCCCAGATAGATGTTTAATTGATGAGGTGAAGTATTAAAATTCAGTAGGATTTAACTTGGCTGCAACCATATTAAGTCAGTTTAGCTTTAGTGAGCCTTTTTAAAGTTTAACTAACTTTGGATCTAGTTCTGTCATTCATGAAAACTTTGCTGAATCTAGATCTCACGCTTTAATCGTGGAAGGAGCCTGAGGAAGAAAAGGGAAAGACTTAAAGAGGAAAGAAGAGCTCAGTCCGTGCCACGCGACGAAGTGGTGCAAAGCAAGGTATAGGCATTTCTGTGTATTTAGGGGGTAAAGAAAGCAGTACGGGAACCGAAAGACTACATTTGTTGAAATTATATGAATGGGCATGCCTGTTGTGTCACAAGAACCTGGACCCAACTATTAGTATTTATTTATTTATTTATTTATTTATTTATTTATTTATTTATTTATTTATTTATTTATTTATTTATTTATTTATTTATTTATTTNAGGGCAAAAGAAGAAGGGGATGACAGAGAATGAGGTGGCTGGATGGAGTCCCTGAAGCAGTAGGTGTGAGCTTAAATGGACTCCAGAGGATGGTTGAGGACAGGAAGGCCTGGAGGAACATTGTCCATGGGCTCGCGATGGGCTGTACATTACTTTGTAACTAACAACAACAACAAAGTGAATGCTGTGGTCATTAAGCAAAATGCCAACATTGTTAAGGAAATAAGATAATTGTTAAACAGGGTTTTCAGGAAAACTGGCAACAAACCTCAGAAACTGTCAAAAGATGCAAAAAACACATTGTCTTGTGATCGTGGCACACTGAAAATTGATGTAAATGTGACCTGGTTGGCCAAACATCCAAAATGCAATCATGTGGCCTCAGGAGGTGTTGTGGCTATCGGAACTCCAGAAACAGGTCATCCAGTAACTCTGGAGAAATCTGTTGTAACTTTGAACAGTGGCCAAATAACTGGCTGTTAAGTAAACATTTGCTTAATTCCATATTACATTCTCACTCAATTATTACATAGGAATAAATAGAGAAAGAAAAATATCCTTCTCACTATACAATTCTGTTAAACTTCTGGTAAAACTGCCAGCACTTTACACTAGTTGCATGGTTTTTTAAGCGTTGTGCAACTAACCTCTGCAGCTGCCTCATTTCCTGGGAAAATAGATCTTTATCTTATGAAGGTGCTAATTCCACATGTTGCAGATGCTTCAAAATACCTTTTTGCAAACACCTTGATAAGGGTGTTAATCATGTTCCTAACAACTACTTTTGCTTTTTCCCCCGCCACTCAATATCTGAGACAGTAGACAACTTGACCCCAGCCACAGTATTACTGGCAAGACCAGGATTAGCTTTTTTGACTTTAGTAAATATCAGACACGGAATAATTTCCATGGAGATTCTCAATGATCCAGATTATGGTTGTCCCAGAATTGCTTTTCAAAAGTTAACTAAAATCTCTGGTTTTTTTTTCTTTGAAAGTGTTTCTCTTCTCATCCAAGAAGTTCTGAACTGACAAAAAAAAACCTTTCTGGATGGCAAGCGAAATGTTTTCAAGGGGGGAAAAAAACCAAGAAAGTCCAGCTGCCTTTTGAAAAGCACCTTTGGGATGATAGATGGAAGAACATAAAGCAGATTGTTCCAAGAACATCATTGGATATAAAGTTAAACCTGATCATTGATTAGGTCTTGCTTTCATCACCTACAGCATGATTTATAAGATGTCTTTTTCCATGATTGGGTGTAGACAATTGCTACTTATGGCTTCCAGTTCATCTGGCTGTGTCCTGTCCAGTGGTGGGATTAAAAAAAATAGTAATGGTTCTGTGGGCATGGCTTGGTGGGTGTGGCAGGTGAAGGTTACTGCAAAATCTCCATTCCCTCCCAATCAGCTGTTACTTGGGAGGCAGAAAGTAGATTGGGGAGGAGCCAGTCAAAGGTGGTATTTATTGGTTCTCTGAACTACTCAAAATTTCCGCTACAGGTTCTTCAGAACTGGTCAGAGCTTGCTGAATACCACCTCTGGTCCTGTCAAAGTTTCACAGTTGAGTAGAAGGTTTCATTAGCTCACTACTTAAGCAGTCCGGATCCTTTAATGTTGTTTTCTTTTCTCTTCCAATGAGGGAGCAGAACCCCTGCTGGAATTAGACCGCCTACTGCCACATACCTCCCAACGACCGATAAGATCTCACAGGGTGGGCCTCCTTAGGACGCCGTCAGCCGGACAGTGTCAGCTGGCGGGGCCTCGGAGGAGAGCCTTCTCTGTGGCTGCTCCGACCCTGTGAAATCAGCTACCCCCAGAGGTCTGGATCTCACCCTTCAGAAAAGCTGTTAAAACCTGGCTGTTCTGGCAGGCCTGGGGCTGTTGATCTTATTATGTAGGGTCCAGCTCCGATCAGAACGTATGTGTGTTGTAGAATTTTTTAAATTGTTTTTATTTTTATTTTGTTTTGTTTTTTCTTGTTCTTTGTAAGCTGCCCGGAGTCCTCCGGGATTGGGCAGCCTATAAATCTAATAAATTGAATTGAATTGAATTAGATCTGTACTTTTTCAAAAGTTGTCCCTGATCAAAAGGAAGGAATGGCCTGTCACACCTGTAGGATGGATGCAATGCTATATCAAGCCAACATGTCTATGGAACTCTACCCGTCTATGGAGAGTCTCAGTCATCCAAGTCATGGTTGTCCCAAAGGTGCTATCTTTCCAGACAACTGGATTTTCTTTATTTTTCTTTGAAGTGGTCTCAACCACTCTCTAAAAGAATGATCATCTGTTTTCAAGGAATATAAGTCATTCCATTCCCCACCATTCAGTCAGAGCTGAAGAAGCTTATTGGATAAAATAACAGAATAACAGAAAAATAGAATTGGAAGGGACCTGAAGGTCTTCTAGCCCAACCCTCTGCTCAAGCAGAAAACTCTATAGCATTTCAGACAAATGATTTTCCAAGCTCTCTTAAAAACATCCAGTGTTGGAGTACTTACAATTTTTAGAGGCAAGTCATTCCACTGATTAATTGTTCTAAATGTAGGGAAATTTCTCCTTAATTCTAGGTTGGTTCTCACCTTGATTATGTTTCCATCCAAGTGAAATGTCTTCAAAAAAACAACAACAAGGTTGTCTCTTGAAAAAATAAGCACCTTTGGGACAACTCCATCCACCCTTTATACAGACTGTAAAATGTTCTTTTTCTTATAACTTAAGCAGGAAAAAAAGAGAATTAGTTGAGAAGGAGGGTGGGATCGGGGGAGGAAAAAGTAGAACTAATCTGTCCAGTAAATTATTGGTCTGCAATCCTGCATTGCAATCAAGCAAGAAATGGGGGTGGTAGAATGAAAGAAAACCATAATTGGAAATTAGTTTAGCGTGGAGTATTACCCAAACATGACAGAGATCATAGTTCCGTTCTGAGTCTAAAACAAAATGCCAGCATAGCTACTATAGAGAGTGGCAACCCCCCTGCAGTGCTGAATGAAGAAAGTGGTTATTTCAAAGGTAAAGTTAAAGATTTCCCTCGCACATATGTGCTAGTTGTTCCTGACTATAAGGGGTGGTGCTCATCTCTGTTTCAAAGCCGAAGAGCAGTGCTGTCTGAAGACATCACCGTGGTCGCACAGAGTGCTGTTACCTTCCCACCAAAGGTGGTTCCTATTTTTCTACTTGCATTTTTACATGCTTTTGAACTGCTAGGTTGGAAGAAGCTGGGACCAGTAATGGGAGCTCACTCGTTATGCAGTGCTAGGGATTTGAACCGCCGAACTGCCGACCTTTCTGATCAACAAACTCAGCTTCTTAGCCATTGAGACACCGCATCCCTTTATTATTTCAAAACCCAGATATAAAAGTGGCAGAATTAAGTGGCAATTCTTACTGCTAGGGTAAAATTAAATGTCCATTAATTATTTTGCATTTTTATTAAATACTTTTAATTTAGTCTTTTAAAAATCATGCATGATAATTTGAAAAGAAGCTGGTCTTAGAGAAGGTGCTGATGATCACAGGGTTTTTACTTTGTTTCTAACTTTATCACATTTCTATACTGCCTATACGCTTAAGTGACTTTGGCTGGTTTACAGTTAAAAAATGCAGATGAATTTGCCATTTGATTGTGTTAGAAGGCAGGTACCCCTCTTCCTAATGTTTTTACACTTTATATGTGGTTCCCCACAAACTGAATTATCGAGTTAAGATTCTTTATTTGCAACTTTAGGAAAAGATTTTCACAATCTTAAATCCTAACATTCCCGGGGAGAATTCAGACTTTGGAAAACTTTGGGTCCATCTATAAAGATCACTCAACTGGTTGAGCCAATGGTCTGACTGATTGGACATAGGGTGACATGTTAAAGGGTTAATTGGATACACTGACACTTTCCTAAAAGGAAATATAAATGGGTCAGAGAGATGAGAGCTGGTGACACAGTAAAAAAAAAGAGCAGAAAATCAATAGGGTGATGACTCAGATAAAATCCCATTCCGGCTTCACAAGAACAAGAAAGATATGTTTGCTTTTAAGAGTTGCAAAGAGAAGCTACATTTGTGCCCCCCCCCCCCCCGGTGTTCTTAAGCACCTTTTAAAAAACTGAAGCACCACTCAGGTTTACTAGTGAGGACCAGTTAATTGAAGGAAAGTATTGAAAAAATGAAATATGGTACAAACTTTCAAGAACTTGCCAGGACAATTAAAGAAATTATATTAAATCCTAAGGGTCTGCCTCTTGAAATTGGAATAAAAAGAAATGTCTCAAAGATGGTAAAGTACACAGCCGCAACAATCAAGGAGTGTGATAAGAAGCTTGTTAGACAGTTTGGAGTCAAGTAAAGAAAGCAGAAGTGAGATCAGATCACACTTAAGTCAGAAGCACCAAGGCTGAGCTGGTGATATCACCATTGCTCAGAAGGACACCCAGTTGGGGGCTCCATTCATGTCCCTGGCAGCAAAGGATGAGAAGCTCACCCCACCCCATCCCACCCCACCCCACAGCAGCACTGAAGTGTCAAATGCGAGCTTGCTAACCTCCAACCCAGTGTCCTAACCTCATGAATTACCATGTTCCTAAAACTGAGATCTTCGGAAGGAAAGGAGTCTATCCCAAGAAAGAGAGAGGCAAGGAAATGAGACGTAGAATGGTTGGGGGAAAGAATAAAAATCTGTGGAACTCTGGATGTGAAGATCACACATAGGAATAAGACGTGTCATTCCCACGTCGGAGTCTAAATCCAAGGGGGAAGATGAACAGCTGACAGAGAGCTTGAGAGTGTCTCTGTTGGCTGTGGAGGAAACTGGGGAATAGCAAAATCAGGCTGGG